CCAGCACTCCGAGCCCTCTATTCACCCTCTCCCCCTCTCTCCTTCCGATCGCTTCTGAAACACGAGCCGATTGCTCTCCAAGCGAGCTCTCGATGTAACCTCGTTATAGTGGCACGTCATGGTCTTTTTGTTCCCTGATCTTTTCTACCTATATATTTAGCACCAATAGCTATCTTCTAATGAAAATGAATATCATCGTCGTCTTAAGGAAACGAAACTCAGAGACGAAAGAAAGAAAGACTTGAAACAAAAAATATTCAATAAAAATACAGATTTCTTTTTTTTTTTATTCCCGTACGAAAATCCTCGAGCTCGTGTTAATTTACAAAGTTTTTTTGCTTATGACTCCCTAGAAAAATTTGTGTCATTTAATTTTTCGTATTTTGATGGGGATATTAAATTTTTACTTTTCAGATTACTATATTAAATTTTTACTATTCAGATTCTTTAGATATTTCAGTTTTAGAATCGTGAATTTTACTAATAAAATTCCTGTTAATAAAATTCTCAACCGTGCACTTGGCTTAAAGGAGCAACTCGTGCGAATGCACACCAGATACGTGTGTGCATAATAGGATTTCAGATATCCGCAACGATTGTGATTATTGGCTACACGCATATTCCGCAAATATACGGACGCCTCTGCATTTTCGATGCTCCGAGATGCTACCGGGCGAAAGTCCGATCGTGCAGAGTGCAGCGCACGTATTTGGTCGGATCGTCTAATACTCTTTATACAATATGTATTTTTCTATTTCCTAGTAGGCTATTCGATTATCCGCGGCAATACTAAAAGTTGCCTTGCCCGTATGGCTAATTTCAAAAAATCGAGAATCCACAAACGGCAAACCGTTTGCCTTCTTCCAATAACCATAGTGTAGTTTTTGCTAACGCTAAAAAAAGTCATATTGCGGCTTTTTATTCAAAAGTATTATGAAAAAACTATTTTATGCAATTGGAGAATTCCAAAATATTAGGTATTATCGTTAAGCGTTCTACTTATAACGACACGCGTCACGTTTCGACATCAATTTATCTTACTTACATGTACGGAGAAGACAAGATTGTCATTTTTAAATATATGTAAAATGTGGCTGCGTTAAATAAAAGTATAGTTTGATTAATTTTTAGGAATATAAACGGTTTTCGGATTTATACGTGCTTATTAATCCATCAGTTATATTGGATTATCTTCAAATTATTTTAATTTTTATTTCGTTGATTATTCACACGCTGGTAAGGTTACATAAAACATTGCGTGTAAAATTAAAATCTCCGAGTAATAATGGTGAACATGTGTACACGCTAACGCTACGCAGGGTTTTTAAAAAAATTGCCATTACAACGAAATCATATCTCGCGACTTGAATGCGAATGGCGCAATTCAAACGCATTAGAGGATATTTGACCGAATCGTGATTGGAGCGTGAATGGAATATGACCATCCGTCATAACGTAAATCGAGTGCGCGTTTTATTGCACGGAAACATATACTGATCTGTGCGAAGTCACCAATGTATATACCTATATCAAACGCTATTAGACATAAATAGTTGTGTAATTCATATAAAATCATACTTTATTAATATATTAATATGCGATCTTTAAACCGATCCATGTGCCATTTGTTACGAGATGTCTACGATTTCCTTGATTGGCCTTAATATTCATAAATATTACTATTAATTATTAAATTATTTAAAACAATAGCGTAGAAATGCGATAAATAATATCTACTGAAAAAAGCGTTTTGTTTTCTTTTTTATAATATAAAATGAAATTTTAATATAGCTCTTATATTTTACATTTTCATCTGTTTTTACATTTATATTTTACATTTATTTCTAATTCTGATTAAAAATATATTCATTGTCATATCTCTAAACCTATCAAACGCTATTATTACAAGACTTAAATTTTTAAATATTTCTAAAACTAGCGATAAATGGATTCTCGAAAATAAATAATATTGCAAAGGTCGCACGTAACAGACGGAAGTGTATAAAGAAAAAAAAAAAAAGAATGCAGAATCTTCGTCGCAGCTCGTCGAATATTGCAGACTGACGTTGCGTCGCCAGCGTTCGATCGCGTTTCTTTTTAATTCGCGGGCGTGTAACAACGTTTTCCTCGCACCTTTTCGTTGAAGATGACGGCCACTCGGGCTGCGAGCGGGACTTTGAGCGAGCTCGGGTTGCCGTTTGCGGCTTTCCGCCGCGCAGAGATCGCGGTCGCTTTCTCGCGAGGCACCGCGAGGTGTGGCTACGCGTGGCGTGCGCGCCACTCATTTCCATCCGCCCGACTTGGAGCATTGCCGTCAGCCGCGCTCTGCCTCTTTGCGTTTTTACCGCGGTACATCTTGCTTATACCTCGCGTTGTATTAATTATCTTCCGGTCTTCCCGAAACGGAGAGGCGGTTTTTTTTGATACGGTTTATCGGCGACGTCGAACCGGTTGAGCCAAATGGGATTAAGTAACGCTTCTTCTTAATTAGCTTCGTGGACGTTACAAAGAGAAAAGTTGACGTACTAGACTAGCTTAACATCGAGAGTTGCTAATCTATATTCGTATATATGTTCCATGTATTATAAAATTTTTTTGATTCGAGCAAGTGATCAAAGACATATCAAAAGTGTAATAGCAGTGTATAAAGTAACATGATCGATTGCGAATCGAGAGAAGTCGAGGATCCATCTTCGAATCAATAAACGCGATACGTATCCACCAAGAAAGAAAGCGGGAAAAGAAAAGTCTTTCTGTACCATAGCTTGATCGCGTATCATGGTCTACTCTTGATTCGTGTCATCGGGTGCCGCCGCAGGAGCATTCTGTCCGTCGGGCAACGAGCTTCTAATACTACCGCGCATCTTCCGGCGGGTACGTGTTTAACGTACTTGCACGCACGAATGCACCGTGCTAATACAGCGATGCGCATAATACGCGTAGGTAAGGAGGAGGCGCAAAGCAGAGAGAGGGAGTAAGGGGGGGAGAGAGAGAGAGAGAGAGAGAGAGAGAGAGAGAGAGAGAGAGAGAGAGAGAGATGTGGATGAAAAGAGCGAGGGAAACCGAGTGAGAGATAACGCTGAGAGGGAGATAGACAGATAAAGAGAACGGGGGAATGAAGAGAGCCGGTAAATTAGGTGGGTATATCGTGCGGTTGTAGATGAGGACGTTGGTATAGGATATGTAGGTACACCAACGTGGCGGCTACCATCGCGCGCCACGGTAGGAAGAGACTCGACGAGGCGAACTAGAAGAGCGACGTGGAGTGGGACCGACGGGAAGCGGGAGGGCGGAGGGGGTAGGCTATAAAGGCTAATTGGTTAAAAGCTCACCACTGGCTGCAGGCTTAAATCAAGATCTTGGAGTGTTATAATGGATAAGTAACACGGCGTGGCACGGCCACCGCCACCGGGTTGTGTGTTATCCCCACATACACCATCGCGCATACCCCGCTTCCCCCGTTTCGAGCGTTCGCGACCCTTCTTTCCCTCCCTTCCCTTTCGCTCTCCTAGACCGCTACGTCCACGTCGCCTCGCGTATAACCACCCCGTTCACCCGCCGCCGCCGCGGCGCGGAACGTCGAGGGCGAGTATCTTTCGAGTTAAGGACGGCGCGACCAACGCGATTGGTCCGCGGCGAGGGTTACCCCAGCGGGTAGTCGTGTGCGGTGCGAGTCATCGATCGCGCCTCCGTCCTATGAGAAATCCGGAAAGCCAACCCCTGGCAAGCCGTAGGCCCCGCCCCGCCACCTACCCCGACCGCACCGACACCCCTTCCTGCAACTTGCAGCTTAGCCGTCCTCGCGTTCGCTTGCTACCCTCCGCTAAACTCCCCCTCCCCTCAGCTATCTTCCTCACCCTGCACCGCGCGCGCCCCAACGTTTCTCCCTCCTGCCGTCTCCCTCTGACACCCTTTAATTTATCCGCTCGCCCCGTTCTAGCGAGCGGCGGCCTTCTCCTCCCCCTCGCTCGCACCCCGCAGTCTAGCTATCGCGCGCCGCGCAATAACTACCCCCGTGACTCTCGAAGCGTGACTCCGAAGCGCTCTTTTTCTCTGTCTTACTCCCCGCCACCCGTCCTTCTCCCTCCTCCTCGCTATCGCACCCCTCACGCTTTTACCCCCGCGCTCCTATCCTCTCGCCGTATGAGCGAGCCAACGCGCGAGCGTACATACGTAAGCGTGCACACGCGCGCGCGCGCGCGAATGTGTATGCGTTTACGCGTGTACGAGCGAGCCTCTCCTCATCCGTGTGACCTGTGGTTTCTCCGGCGTTTTCCTACCCTTAGTAGTGCGAGAACAGTGCGCCTATCCGTCGCGGCCCCGTCACTCGTCCCGCGAAGCGTATCGCAGGACACGGAGGGTGCTTGCGCACCGTTTCTTCTCTCTCTCTCTCTCTCTCTAACGCGAGCGCGCGTCCAAAACGTGTGTTGTCAGCGCGCGCCGACGCTCTAACGACACGCGCGCGAGTCGAAATTCCGACGCGACGCGACGCACGGCGACGGTCGGCATATTGTCACCGCTTGCACGGACCGACTGTGACTTTCTTACGAACTACCAACCCTCCACATTCTTCGAAGGGCGAAACAACGAACATCCGAGTTCTCTCGTCTTCTTCTCAACGTTCTCACAGTTTCGGTTCATCGCGGTTCATTCGCGATTTCTATCCGAACGAAGGAAAGAAGGGTGCGTCACGATGATGATTCTCTCACGATGACGACGTCATTAGTTTGCGATGAGTGGCGATCACGAGTGGAAGTGACTCGAGAAAAGTGACGGCACGGTAGAGGCTACCCACAGTAGTCTCGGTGTTACACGCGAGAACGTTTTACGCCTACGCGGGCAGACGGCAAAGAGCGGAAAGCGTAAAGGAGAGGAGAAGTTACGTGTCAGACTGGTGTGGGGTAGTGGTGAAAAAAGAGAGAGTAAGAGAGAAAGGGGGGAAGGGAGGTAAAGACAGAAAGAGGGGGGTGTGGTAGGTGGCGGAAGGACGATAGGGGGAGAGGGCGACTCCGCGAAGGGTGGGCCCTCCAAGTGTCTTGTGTCTCCTATCATCCTGTCGTCCAGGATATCGCTTACGAATGTCGCGCGATCGAGCGATCCGTTTGCGATCCACGACGAGGCGCGAGAACGTCTCGGCGACGGCCGCGTATCGACTATCGACGAGCCGCGATATTATCCTTGTCTGAGAGCCGACATAACAAACGCGCTTCACGTACCTGTGTGTCGTCCTGATGGACGTGCGGTCGTCCAAAGCGGACAATCGCCGGGTCGCGTCGCGCGAGACGACGACGGCTTAATCGTCGGCTCTAATGGCCGGATATCTCCGAATATAAGCGAATCCCGTCGGCGACGAGAGAACGACGTGCGGTTATCGTTCGAAAAGTCGTACCTGGCTAGCTGGACTAGCCGCGGAAGAAGTGCCGCAGCGGGAGATTTCTCCAGACGGGCCGACTCGAAGGATGTCCGGCGAGACGGAAATCGAGGTGTCGGTGGTGTCGGAGGAAGATTTGGAGCTGGAGGGCTCCAGGAGCAGCTCCACGCCGGCGGAGTTGCTACTGCAAGAGAAGAACGGCAAGTCCGGTTGCGGCCTAAACAATCACCATCACTCGTTTAGTTTCGACACAGTGAGCAAGCCGGCGCTCAGGCCAGCCTGCAATCCGCAATACACGTCCTTCAGTATCTCTAGCATCCTCGGCAGACCGGAATCTCCGCCTGTCGATTCGACGACCTCCACGGGATCAGGGGAGAGGCAATCGTCGGACGTCGATAGGACGTCGCCGTTGCCGCCGGCGAACTCGCAGAACTCGCAAAGAATACCGCCGTCGTGCGGTAGTCCGGGGAGAATCTCGTCCTCGCCCACGTCCCTAAGATTATCCGGCGGTCAGCGCGGCGGATTATCTACCAGCCACGTCTTAGAACCTAGAGCGAATTCCACGGGTATCGGTATTGGATGTGCTACCAGTGCTACAAGTCCGGCAGCGACCTTCTCGCCGCCCGGCGATGCCTCTGCCAATCCGTTACTGGGACACCAGGCGTCGGCGGATCTTGCGATGCTATCGAGGTACGTGGCCTTGGACTTGATTTCCTTGTTTTCACAAATTTCCTGGCGATGACAGACGAACTCTTGGTTGACACTGATTAATCTTGCCGTATTTATTTTGTCGTGTTTTTCAAATTGAATAAGACATTACATAAAAGTCGCGATTCTAATTTTTATATTTTGAAAACTTCGTGAAAATAGAGCTATAAATATAAACGAAATTCTATAAACGGGCCCAAAGTGTCCAAGTAATTTCCATAAAAGAATCGTTCTTATCCTCCAAGGTCCTTCGTCGATTTTCAATCGGTATCATTTGGTTAAACATTACTTATCGCCACAGCTTCAATTTCCAAAAGATAGAAACAATTTTGATATTATCTTGAATTATAAGTAATTATTCTCAATATTGTTAATTATTTAAAAATTGTAAATCATTGAATGTCAAACTGCATTCATCGATTGCTATTATTGGAAAATCTATGATTCCATCATAGTACAGCTGTGTCTCACGTTACGTAATGTCTATGGTAATATAAAAGACTGACGCAACAAATAACTATTTTGTCAATTGAATGACTTCTGCATTATTTACGTATGGTCGAAAAATATTTTTAAACTGAATACAAAATTTGACTGACGTTATATGTCAATGAATTTTACATGTCTTGTTCTGGGAAATGAAAACACAGACAATATACATATGATAGAATATATCAGATGTCATGCACTTTAACTTGAATGTAGTTTCTTTTAAGATTCAGTCTGCTCTGTATAACAAAAAAATTGCATATTTCTGTCGTTACAATTTTCAATATTACATATTGTAATATTTCCTTAACATATCTCCAAATCTTGCTTGCAGAAAAGAGCAAAAAGTGCATTCAAAATTAGATGAAGAATAAGCTTCTTTTTTTCGTCTATTTACGGTTCGTAACTCTTTGATCCTCTTCGACTTTAATCGGTTATTGAAACCTCAAAAGCTATTGACGTACCAGGAACTGTCGAAGCAATCAGTTTTCTTTCTCTTTTAACTACAAACGTTCGCAATTTCCATGACATCTTATAAATATATGTGATATAATCTCGCGAGGCAGTTTCTCGACAGGAAACCTATGAAGGCTAAGTTCCATGTTTCTAAATTCAATCTTGGAAAAACAATTAGCGGTGACAGCTTCGTCTCATTTCCACGAGAAACGAACGCTTTCTTACGCGTGTCACGGGAAATAAAGCGGCGCGATAACCAATTTAAGTAATAATATTGTATTTTTTACTAACATCGTGAGAAGATACTTTATGTCACAAACACGTGTATCGCACGCATAGTTTATTCGCGTATGTGCGATGCACGCAATATCGTTATATTAAACTCAGCCGGATGTGGCAATGTGACCTTCGATTTTATAGGCCGCCGAAATAACTGGCCGAAATTCGAACCTTTGTGCTGATCGGCGATCGCCATTCATTTCGCCGGTATGTCAGTCACCCGAGCAAAACATACGAAGCACGTTGATTTAATTGTTATTTATATATAATTATAATACGCCGTTAGCGCGAAACAATTCTAGCGAGCATTTGTAAAAAAAAAGAAGAAAAAAAGAGAGAAAAGAGTAACGCCTCTGCATAATTTAACGATTTAAACGCCATCGTTTAACGGCTAATTCAATGCCATAGCCATTTAATATTAATGCAAAAGTGTCGGTAAATGGAGTTGCTAATACTTGCTAATGATTAATTAATTCGTAACATTGTCGTTATTCATATTCGCCGCTCGCGTAATTGGCGGAATTGTTGAATAAATTAAGACCGCGCCCTCTCTCAGGCAATTAGAAACTCCGCCGCGTTAGCGTTTCCGTGATAAAAACATGCATTCGCAAAGCTTTGACCCGAGAGATTCGACAATACCATTGCGATGGATTAATATCCGTCTCTTCGCCAGCGTTATTCGCATAATTTTACACGAACGCGTATATGAGTGCACAATGGGACGCGTTTTGCATTAGCGATATATAAATTGCACTAACTGAATCACGGAACGCGCGTTAATATTCGTTAAGAGCATCCATTTAATAAAAATCGAGAGAACTAATTTTCCGCGTCCAGCGTTATAATGATTGTAAAAAAATTTACAAAATTCACGAAAAAAAAGTAAATATTTTTATAGTGATAAAACAATTATAGTCCTGTCTCTTAATTTTGATCAATTCGAGAAAAGGATGTCCTTTCCAATTACACAAACACTTTATTTAAGAAATAATATTTTTTAAATAAAAGGTCACTGTCCTCTGAAAATGTCTTAGCGACAAAACTTTGTTTTCAATTAATTTCTCATCTGTATTGTTTTAACAAGAAGTTTAGTGAAGCTCGTTCCTATTAAGAAACTTAAAACTGCGAATTATGAAGTCGCAACAATGATGAGCTTCCTCAACATCTCCGATCGAAGGAAAAAAATCGATATCAAATTGCTGAAAGAAGCCGAGATATTTTTTGGTTTATAAGGAACACCCTGTTCCACGATCCAATGTCCGCGCCCGTCAACTTGGATTACCGGGCGAAAAGGGATGTACCCGAAGGGACAGTCTTCGTGGACCGAAGATTTTCGGTAGGCGTGATCCCGCTCGGATCAAGATACACGACATATTGGGGGTGGCGAAACGGTAAGGGGTAACGGCAACGAGCGAGCGCGTGCGGTGAGGATTATATTATGTGGGAATGGACCGACGAGGGGGCCGTAATGGGCCTATTAGGCTGTCTCATTTAATAACAACCGTAGCAACAACACCACCCTCTTTACATTACTTACGTTACTTAGGAGAACCCCCGCGCGCTCTATCAGATATATCTGCGAGGAATCCGAGCACGGCATCGCGCGCCGCAAGGGGCAGAAGCGAGATTCGAGGGTTCGAGATGATTTTATCAGATTTACACCCCCTCCTCGATTGACGACCTGCTCCCCCGCTCGCATCCACGTCCCCGTCCTTACCCGCACTCTCCCCCTTCCCCCCTCCCCCCCCCCTCGCCGCTCTTTCTCCACGTCCTCGCCATGCTTGGTTGCTGGCGCGACGACTACGATTGCTTGTTTTCCACCCGTTTACCATTTGATTAAGTTCCACTCGTATGCACCGTTGGGGCACACTCCACTAAACGAGAAAAGCCCCGCCGAATGGGGCCCATCACGCAAACGAACTTACCGCGGCAGATAAATGGTAAACTCTGAAAAACAGATTTTCCTTTTTGCCAAATACATACCGTTAATTCTATTTTTGTCGGGAAACAAGATTATGATACTCGTGAGAGTATCATCAGCGTCACTTTTTTAAAATAACTAACGGAAACCCTTCAAATGCATTATTTATTAAATTATTTTTGAATTCAAACAAATAATTTCGTTTTCTTATTAAATTCATCGAGAAGTTATTGATTAATATACAATCGAGTATTAATTCGTTAAAAATTGGATAAAGTAGGCTCAGAGGCTTTTTTATTATACACACGTGATATACGATAACGTATCGTAACGTATAATAAAAATAACCGACTCGCTTTCTCTTTGAATAACGGCGCTGAGAGAAGCGCAAAATCACACGCAAATGCAACTTAACGCTGAATGGATATAATGACACCACAGATTTTCAGGCAATGCAGACGTAATTCATGCATCACAAAGGGCCGCGGAAGAGGCGCGTCTCTCGCTTGTAATAACCGCTCCGCGGCGATACGTAAAATTACAAATTGCATATATTCCATTCGGATCCATTTACGCGTTTAAATGCAATTCAACAAAAATTCGCGCGGCGGTATAGAATTACGCGATGATCGCGCGCTCGCGCCATTTTCACGCACGCACGCACGCATTCAGACACGCGCGCGCGTATATCGCGTAAACGCGATGTCCCGGGCATAATTTCGCAAGCACGCTAATTAACGTCACGTAGTAACTGGCAACCAAAAGTTGCTAACCGAAACGCGCACTTCGCGCTGAACGCGCGGAGGGGGGGGATGGGCAAAAAATCAATTAGGCGTAGAGTGCATAATGGATGCGGATGAAATACTGTACGCGTATAGTCCAAGGTTAAGGAGCCTAAGATTCCCTCGAGAAACAAGCCACCTATCCCGCGGCCCATTTGCTGCCGAGCGAGCAGCCCTTACGTCTCTTCCGGGAGGAAGCGCGCAAGTTCTAGGCTCGATTTATTATTAAATCGCCGCTCTACGCCAGGCTGAGATTCTCGCTCGTCAAGGTCGTAGAGAGAGAAGTTGGCGCCATGCGATCTCAGCAGAGCATTATCTATCCTATATATATATATATATGTGTGTGTGTGTGTGTGTGTGTGTGTGTGTGTGTGTGTGTGTGTGTGTGTGTATGTATATGTCTGATCAAATAATAATATTTCTCCGCAGGAGAGTAAGTACGCGCGCAGGGATTTATGCGTTTAGATATGCGTCTAAATATGCGCTTTATGAAATCGTAACAATCGCATCCGACTTCTTATGGCGCGACTTGAGTCGAAGAAATGTGTTCCTTTAGAATTGATATTGAAAGTGTCTTATTATATATGCATAATGTCTTATTAGAACCGCCGACTTATTAGAATCAATCGAGCCTAGAATTAAAATTAATATCAAGTTCCGGACATGAAGAAGATGATGACTCGCAAACAAATTATTAAATTATTATTAAGACATACACACGGAAGATTAATAGAATGGAGTAATTGGATTTCGTCGCGGGTCCTAAATTTTAAAGTTAATTATTGCACCCTAACGCATCTGTCTCGTACGTCGTCGATATGTTTCGCAGATTCGCAATTTGCAAGGACCATTGATCCGGGCCGCGAAAATATTTTTCGCTCGATTCGCTCGCGATTTCACGAGGGGACTCACATTCAAAAATGTTGCGCGCGGCAGGATCGCGAACGAAAGGATCCGTCTGATATAATCCGCGACAGAGACTGCCTCGTTAATTACAGAGCAGATGAATGATTCGTTAATTAGGGCGGGATCGCGCTACAAGTTTCAAAGGAAGATACGATAAAGCCTATTGTGTATGATCGCCTATTCGCGAACGATATGGATGTTTCGACGTTGGGAACAAATGCGCGGGATGAGCGACGGCGGCGGCCGTATGAGCCACGGATCGTAATTGCGCCGGGATACAATTCCCTCCGATTTCATTCGACACTGCTTCGTCTAGCGAAGTAGCGAGCTCCTGATTAAAAGTCGCGCAAGAAGACACGACGACACGGTACAACAAGTCGAAAAACATATAGTTGCATATCGCATCTCACTTCTGACATAAATCATTTGTTAGCAGCGTCGATTCTACGTCAAAATTCCTGTAGAATTTTTTTGGAATTTTTTGGAATTTATTCAAAAGATTTGCGTGCACCAAAAAATATATTAATTTTCTTCGGGATATACACATCAAGACGAAGTTATTGCTGTAGACGTGAGAATAAATTCCTGGTTTCGCCTATCGCAAGCCAATAATGTAATGAAGCCAACTAGCGGATTTAGCCGAACGCTTTGAAAGCCAATAAATCATTGTTGGGTCATCCTGACGACGCTTTATAAGACGCCTTATAGTGTAACAATAGATTTCACCGTGTTATCGCAATTATATGTCGCGTAAGAGAAAAAAGGAAATAAAACTCACAGTCGGATTAAAATAAAAATATACAAAAAGGAGGCTTTTTAACATTCTAAATAAGCCGATGTAACAAACATAACTTGAAAATTTACCTCATCCGACTACTTTCTTTCCTCTTTATTTCTCCTCGTTAATATCCGATAATCTATTTTTCGCTGTTTCTTTGTTCTCCTGTTTTCATTTTTCTCTGTAAAGCACAGCGTGATGATCGCATGTTAAGCATACAGATTGCAAACCGCTTTGGGCGCACTTTCGCTAGTGAACGCGATCGACTTCTCTTTCTTCGCTACGCTCCTAACTACCCTCGGTGTAACGATACACGACGAAACGTATCGTATTACGAGCGATCGTTAACGGCATAAAGAGTTTATATTTGAGAATGGCACTTACCGAGCGCACAAGCAGAGGCAGAATAATAATCAATACAAGCAAGCGGTATAACACGTCACCGAAGACACGGAGGGAAAATTTTAACGGAAATGCCCAATAAAGATGAACGCGGGTGCTCGGTACCAAAAGCGTATGTGCGCTTAATAAAACAAGTGCCAATGATATTTAAAGAATTTCGTGAAAATTGCAAATAAATTCATATTTCATATGGTGAATTACAATCATCGTTTATTAAAAATAAATTAAATGTGAAAATATTAATACTACATACAGAACCGAAAGCGGAGTACCATCAACTGGAAATCGAATGCCATCATTGAATGACTAAGTACAATCGTTACATTCGAGAGATCATCGGTGGGACGGGAGAGGCACAGAAGTCAGGAGCGAGTCACGCGAGTCAAGTGCATGCTCGATGACCTAGAGACTCGAAAGAGCGCGTTAAAGGGAGGAGGTATCGTTGAGAAGAGTTCTCGAGTGCTTACGTAAAGAGGACTCGTAAACCCAGCCGGGACCACGTCGAGCATTCGCGGCCGTCTAAGACGTAAGACCTACGGAATTAGGCAGTAAAAGGTGGTGGGACTCTACCCACTGCGAGAGATTCGAGTGTTTGGTGTTTATACCTGCTCCTTCGGGGAAGGGTCGTTGAATGCTTACAAAACAGGCGGTTGTCAGATTTCCTTTATCTTTTCCGGGGCATTTGTGCGTGCCCCGGGCCGTCGTCTCTTCTCTCCCGTTAGCCGCGCGAAGCCTTCTTGAGAATACCTCGATATCTCATCTCTCGAAGCCGGGAGAGAATCGTGGGGAGTTAAGGAAGAAGCGCATCGAAGATCGCGTGTCGCTGAGAAATTCTCTTAGGGAGGGTCCCTCTTAATTCCTCCTCTGCTTTGGTCTCGAGCAGCCTCGAGTTGATGTCGTTGCCCGTGAGTTGTCGATGTGTCGTGTCGTCTATCGCTCAGCGTGACTCCCTCTTGGTGATAGGCGATCGACGCGTGTGGAGTCTCGCGAGTCAACGAGGCCTTAACTCACATAAGCGTGAGTATCGTTGACTCGTTGACGATGAGGTAGAGAGAGGTCGAAAAAAAAAATCTATATCCGATCGATTCGATAAATATGAAAAATAGATTTTGCCAAGTCTATCTTTTGACTGAATAAAAACATAAACGTGTGTATTATTTGGTTGGATCTTCTCCTTAAATTACAAAATTTTTAAATATATATGCGTACGATATTAGTCGACGAAATTCCTTAGATAGAGCATCATCTCGAGATGAAGCGTATCTGAAGAGTATCTTCGAATATTTCGAAATGAATTTGCAAAGTAAGTATAATCGGCTAATTGCGAGGTAGAATATTAAAGCGAACAAACTGTTTATGAATGTCTCTTGTTAGGCGAGGCCTAATAATGATAATAGGCGCAAAGTGCTACTCGCACGATAGTGGACAAAGTCAAACACGCTTTCACGAGGCGAAACGCGTATCGAAACGAGATCGCTCGTCGCAGACGGACTGCCGGGGAAGCGAGGAAGGAACACGGGAAAGTACTAAGGCTTCCGAAGCCTCCTCGGCCCACATGCCTAACTAACCGGCCCTGCCTGCCGATATCGGTCGGTCGACCGACGGCGGATCCTGCCTGCCTATATTTCTGTTCGCCACAAATCGGTTATTCTCGCATTAAGTTTTCACGGCGCCTGCAGCTTCAACAATGGCGCTTAGGATCGGAAGTAACAATCAAGGGAAAGAGAGAGAGAGAGAGAGAGAGAGAGAGAGAGAGAGAGAGAGAGAGAGAGAGAGAGAGAG